CCATCACCATCATCATCAGCATCATCAGCATCATCGTCATCATCATCACCTCATCGCTCATCGTCGCTTCCCTGTCCCCCTTCCCGCCAAACCCGCCCTTCCCTACTCGGCCTGGTGCTGCTGCTGCTTGGCCAGGCGCGCCTCCGCCAGGGACTGCCGTGGCGCCGCGGGCTCCTCGAAGCCAGAGGACCAGGAGGGGCAGCGAAAATGAGGGAGCGAGGAGCAGGAAGAGCCGCTGAGCAGGAGGGGGGAGTTGAGGGAGGCAGGAGGAAGCGGGATGAAGACTCGAAAAAGGAGGGAGGAGGAGAAGGAGGAGGAGGAGGAGGAGGAGGAGGAGGAGGGGAAGCAGGAGGAATGAGGAAGAGGAATGATGAGGAGGAGGAGGAGGAGGAGGAGAAGGAGGAGGAGGAGGAGGAGGAGAAGGAGGAGAAGGCGGACTCAAGGGGGACTTAAATCGCGCGCAGCCGTTGCCCGGCCGGGCCCTCCCTCCTCGCCGACAAATCGCGCGCAGGCATACCCCCCACTTGGGAGCAATGACGGGGGGGTCGATCAAAATTGACCCCCTTGGAACGATGAATAACGGCGGGAACGTTCCACAACTACCCCCCCCCGTTGACGACCGAATCGGCCTGAAAGCACTTACTGGGCTTCATATGACAGGCGCATGGTGACGACACCGCAGGGTGACGAGCTCCGTATGGGGCCACGAAGCGCTGCTCTGGGTGGGGGGACAGCATGCGAACACCCCCACTGGAGCCTTCCGTGGAGCTCCCTATGGGGCCACGAAATGCTGCCCTGAATGGAAGGTCCGCATGCGTGCGGGCACCCCTACTGGGGCCTTCGGTGGAACTCCCTATGGGGCCACGAAGCGCTGCACTGGGTGTGGCGGCCGCATGCGGGAGCTCCCTATGGGGCCACGAAACGTTGCACTGGGTGGGGGGACCGCATGCGGGCACCCCCACTAGGGCCTTCGGTGGAGCTCCCTATGGGGCCACGAAACGCGGCACTGGGTGGGGGGACCGCATGCGGGCACCTTCACTAGGGCCGTCGGTGGAGCTCCCTATGGGGCCACGAAACGTGTGAGTGGCGGGTGTGGGAGCCGCACGCGGGCACCCCAATTGGGGCCTTCGGTGGAGCCCCTATGGGGCCACGAAACGTGTGAGGGGTGTGCCGAAATGAGTGGGGCGGAACGCATGCGAGCGGTCGCACTGGGGCCTTTGGTGGAGATCCCTACACGAGGTGTACTATGCAAAAGACGGATTCGGCGACGGCGGCCCGCCCAGAGACTGGGTGGCGTAGAGCCTCAGTAGACCTGGTGATACTAATAGAACGGACGATACGGAGGAAGGCCAGAAGACGTGGAAGAAAGCGAGGGAGGAAAACAGGAAGGAGGGAGGATGAGGGGGAGGGAGGAGGAAGGAGGATGAGGAGGTGGAGGAGGAGGAGGAGGAGGAGGAAGGAAGATAGCAAGGGGTACTGGGCAAAAAAAGAGCGAGTGGCCGGAGAAGGGGGCTGAAGGGGGGAAGAGAGGGATCATAACATGGCTCAGGAGGGGAAGGCAGGGAGGCGCGGCAGGGACGAGGGAGCAGGGCAGAGGGGGGAAGTAACGAGGAGGGACCACAAGAGAGGGAGCACGCGGAGGAGGAGATCACATAAGAAATGCGCTGAGGAAGGGCAAGCGGAGGTGGCTTGGTATGTATCGTATGTTGTTGCACCTCCTCTCCTCAACGGCAGTCGGCGGCATTACTCTGCAGCCTGATGGGCTGATCTGCTTTTTTCTCAGCTTGTATGTCCTGCTCTGCACGCGCTCTCTGCTTACTTTTGTCTGCCGCTATGCTTAAGTCGGCCTCTCACTGCTTTATTTACCCACAGAAACGCTCCAGCCACGTAGCTAAAGTCTGAGCAACGTCAACAAAGAGAGAGGGAGAAGGCGCAGGAATGCGAATCAGTTTATGAACTCTTCCGCAGGAAGCGCGGGTTGTCGTCCGACGCATCCTCTGGGCCATCTGGCCGTGTCGGGTTCGGTGCGGAATTCGATGCATGGGTAATGCCAGTCGTTGCTGGACGCATCCGTCTAACGAGCGGGCGGCGGCAGCTTGGGTGTGGGTGTGTGTGTGTCTGTGAACACACGCAGGAAGCAACGGCCATTATCCGCCGCATGCGCTTTCCGATCGGAGGGGGTGGGCCCAATGTGCAAATACACACAGGGGAAGCACCGATAGTCCTCTGGCATTTTCACGTTACGAGTTGGTCAGCGGACCATCCACATACGGGAAGCAACAATCGTCGGGTGGTGCTAGAAGTGCCCCTGGCCCAGGGTGCCCCTAGAGTTTCCAAGGAGGCCCCAGCGGCCCCCAGGGCAACCCTCACGAAGCCCAGCGGGGCCCGATGGCGGGGCTCCACAGCCAGGGGCACCACTAGCAGTCCCCGAACATACGCGAAACAGCAGTCGTTGACGTCAGCAGTACGCCCCCCCGCCGGTCCGCCCTTCCTCGGTCCCTCTCCTCCGTCCACCTTCCCCTCCTGGCCCTCCCTGCCCTCGCACCCCCCTCCCCTCGCACTCGCCTTCCCCTGGCACTCCCCCTCCCCCCTTCCCCCAACCCGACCCCCCCCCTCCCCTCGCGTGCCCCTTCCCCTCCCCCCCATTCCCCCTTCCGCCCCCCCCCCTCCCCTCCCCATCCCCTTCCCCCTCGAGCGGTCCCAGGCCTTCGGTGCGCATCCACCGGGAGGAGGACTGCGGCCGAGGTCGGGGTCGGAGTCGGAGCAGGGGGGCGGAGGAGGACTGCCAAGCGCCCAGGGAACGAAGGCCCTACAAACCTGACAGAACGAGGCACCAGGAGGGCGGAGCTCGCCTTGCGCTTGGCAGGGTCACGGTTCGCCACTATGCGCTTCGAGTCCTGAGCGCAGCAAAGCCAACTGAAACCTCCTGCTCTCGTCATGGTCACAAGCCCTGCACTTGCCAGCGGATCTCGTGCGGTAGAGAGTGCACCTGTACAGATCCTTTCCCACACCGCCAGCTTTCAACACCCTTCTTCTTGCAGCACCAGGGAATTCTGGCATGGCGACAACAAGGCGAGGGACGATGCAGATCACACCGGAAACATCGTCGCGCGTGCCAGCGTAGAGAAAAAGCAGGGCGCGCACGCTCGCGCGCGCGCGCAGGACCAGTTGGCACACCAGAGCGAGGGGGGCGAGAACGACCCACCCGTCCGGTTCTGCTGCTGGTATTCTCCTGCTCCTGACCACCCTCCTGCTATATAGTCTTTCTCTCTCTCTCTCTCTCTCCCTTGCGCCATCATTCTCCCTCCCCCATGTCCCTCCCCTCCTTCCTCGCTTCTCCTGTGTTAGCGGCTGCGTCAACTACACGTTGTAGGGAAGGAGTCTACGCACACATATATATATATATATATATATATATACACGTATGCATATACTCCCAAGGGGGGCACGATCGAAGACGAGAGGGTGGGTTATCAAGGGTGACGCGAGCATGTGAAAGTCAACAATCGTAGAGTGATTGTTGTTTGTTGTTATGGTCGTCCTCGCCCGCGACCCGCCCGCGACCCACCCGCGACCTGCCCGCCGCCCGCCGCGACCCCCCCGCGATCCACCCGCGACCCGCCTGCATTGCTTTGACGAATGTTCTGCACCTGCGGCGGGCCCGCTGTGTAATGCGTAGAAGAATCGGCGCCTGCGGCGGGCTTCTTCGGAGCCTCGCGAACTGCCGACGACTCGGCCGCCCCCTCACCCTTATCCGCAGATGCGGGGGCTATGGTGATTACTTCTTGTGGTGGCACCCTCGGAGTGCCCCAAGGAGCCATCGACGCGCGGATACCCTTTCCCTTCCACGACCGAGCACGTGTCGACCGCAAGCTCTGCAGACCGCACGGGCCCCCGAAACTTCCGTGCACGCCGCGGGGGCCCAGGCCGTCATCCAGTCGGAGGGCGCACCCTGGCGATCGGCACGATAGTCCTCCACCTCCGCCCTGCTCCTCCTCTTGCTCCTCCTCGTCCTCCTCGTCCACTCTTTCCTCCTCCTTCTCGTCGTCCTCACCCTACTTCCTCTTGCTACTCTGACTCCTGCTCCTCCTCATCAGGGTTCTCCTCAATGTACAGAATGTACATCCTCCTCCTCCTCCTGATCCTTCTCCTCCTCCTCCTCCTCCTCCTGATCCTCCTCCTGATCCTCCTCCTCCTCCTCCTCCTCAGCATCATCCTCATCCTCCTATTCGTCATCATCATCACCATCATCAGCAGCAGCATCATCAATAACATCATCATTACCATCATCACCATCATCATCAGCATCATCACCATCATCAGTATCATCATCAGTAACATCATCATCAGCAGCATCATCACCATTACCATCATCATCATCATCATCATCATCATCATCATCATCATCATCAGCAGCAGCAGCAGCAGCAGCAGCAGCATCAGCATCAGCATCATCATCATCATCATCATCAGCATCATCATCAGCATCATCATCATCGTCGTCAACAACAACAGCAGCATCGTCATCAGCATCATCCACCTCTTCATCCTCCGTCCTCCTCATCATCCCCCTCATCGTCGTCGTAACCATCACCACCAGCACTACCACCACACTAATCATTACCATCGCCGTCACCATAATCATCAGCAGCATCATCAACGATATCATCGTCGCCATCGCCATCGACATGATCGCCATCGTCATCATCATCATCATCAGCATCAATATCATCACCATCATCAGCAGCAGCATCAGCAGCATCATCATCAACACCATCAACAGAATACTAATCATCAGCAGCAGCAGCAGCAACAACATCATCACCATTCTCGTGATCGTCAACGCCATCCTCATTACCATCCCAAGCATAACTATTTCCATCGTCATCATCATCAGCATAACCATCAGAACCCTCACCATCATCACCAACATCAGCAGCATCCGTTTTATTATCATCATCAGCATCATCATCAGCAGCAGCAACAGCAGTATCACCATCACCATCGCCATCACCATCACCACCGTCACCATCATCAACATCGTCATCATCATCAGCAGCATCATAAGCATCATCAGCAGCATCGCCATCGTCATCATCGCGATCATCAGCAGCAGCATCAGCAGCATCATCGCCATGTTAATCTGCACCATCATCATCGTGATCAGCAGCACCATCATCATCAGCATCATCGTCATCGTCATCATCATTCGCATCATCATCAGCAGTATCAGCATCGGCATCAGCATCATCATCAGCATCATCAGCATCATGGTCAGCATCAGCATCACCATCATCATCATCCTCATCATCGTCAGCATCAGCATCACGATCGCCATCACCATCATCATCAGCATCTTCATCATCATCATCAGCAGCATCACCACCAGCATCATCATCATCATCAGCATCATCAGCATCATCACCACCACCACCATCATCATCACCCCCCTGCGGTCTCGGGCACGCGGGGCACCCCAAGGAATCACATGGCCCGCGCCAACTGCAGGAGGAGTAGAAGGAGGACCAGTGTTAACCTGAGACGCGTCAGCGATGTTGCAATAAAATCCTCACTCCAAGCTTCTTGAGGTTACTACGAAAATATATCTGCATTGCGGGAAGTGCCCCATTGGAAGACAAACGCATGAGAATCCTCAGTCGTGACAAACCGTCATCCCTGTGACTTCATTGCCGCGAATCAACGTGAACGTTGCGTCCTGACGGTCCAGAGTCGTGTCAGAATCCCATTCCTGGGACTTCAACCCCGCGAATCAACGTGAGTGTTGCGCCGGGACAACCCGCGAATGTGCGCCAGAACGCAAATCCTCGGACTTCAACAGTACGAGCCCTTGAAAATGCTGTAACTGTTTACAATGAACGTGCGCGGCGCTAAAGCGAGAACCAGGGTTTGACAACAAAAAAACGCCCTCCATCCTTGAACATGCTGCAACCGTTTAAGACGAATGTGCACGGCACGAAGGCGAGAACATCATTTTGAAAAAGGCCCACCCTCCATCCTTGAAGATGTTCCAACGTTTGAAATTGGTTGTGCGCGGCGCTAAGGCGAAAGCCACATTTTCAAACAGACACACCCTCCACCCTTGGCGCCGCTCCAATGTTTAAGGACGAATGTGCGCAGCGCTAAGACGAGAGCCACATATTGAAAACCACCCGCCCTGCATCTGTGAAACTGTTGCAAGTCTCAAGCTTCATGATCATAAATGGTGAAAACATCTCAGGCCAAACGCCCTGCCCGCCCAGATGCGGCAGGGATGAGCTGTTCATCCGCCATCGTGCCTCTGGGCACGGAGCGGGCGTGTCCTTAGGTCCGTTGCCCTGGAGCCTCAGTCCTCAGTCCTGAGGAATCTTTACGGGGCCCAGGTCCTAACTTCCCTAATCTCTCGGGGCTTCCCGCATGCCCCCTGGACTCAGGGAAGTGTTGTCGCATGACTTTTCCTGGGCCAAGAGGGCCCCAAGACGGGCAAAGAGGGCCCCGCGAGGCCCCCAAGACGGCCCCAGAGGGTCCCGAGACGCCCAAAGATCGGCCCAATACGCCCAAGATGTCCTCACAAGGGCCCAAGAAGCAGGCAAGTCGCCACAAGAAAGCTTCAAGTGGCCTCCGAAGACAGCCCCAAGAGGCCAAAAGTATATATATATATATATATATACACATATAGAGAGAGAGAGAGAGAGAGAGATACGTTGGCCTTAGGTGTTTGAAGGATTTGGGCGTCCTCGCCTTTTCGGCTTCCCGACGCTCCCAGACGGCCCTAGTGGCCTCCAAGAGGCCTCCAAGACGGCCCGGAAGGCCCCAAGACGGGCCGTCTTGGGGCCCAAGTAGGCCCCAAGACGGCCCAAGAGACGCCCAAGACGGTCCAAGCGGGCCCCAAGACAGGCCCAAAAGGGGCCCAAGAGAGGGAACACGACCCGAAAATCCGAGCCGTCCGCCCCAAGAGGCCCCCAAGAGGCGCCAAGAGGCGCCTAGGAGGGTCCAAGAGGCCTCGAAGGGGCCCCCAAGAGGCCCCAAGAGGGCCCCAAGAGGCCCAATAGAGGCCCAAGAGACTCCAAAATGGCCCCCAAAAGGCCCCAAGAGACCCCTGAGCAGCCTGCCACGAGATCCCAACGAACATCCAATAGGCTTCAGACCCATAGCCCAGGTACGGTGGCGGGATGGGCCGAAAGCCATTACATATAGTATCCCGCTTTGCGAGATCGAGGGTGGTGGCGGCATCTCGTGGAATGAGGATGGGCCCCGGATTGCCGGCATGTCGAAGACAGCCGCAGAAGATGGAGTCAAGAGGTTCAGGCGGGGGGGACAAAGAGGAGGCAGTAGGGGGCCCGCCACTGAATTCGAACACTACGGGGTTCACGTGCTCGGTGGTCAAGTACAACGTACACCAAAAAGACATGCAGAAATACCACGGATATCCCGGAGTTTGAAGCGTTTGAGCTCTGGGGATGCTATCTTGCTCCTCCAAGAGATTCCAATATAGACTGGTGGGTGCATGAATAGCAAAAAGCGGTATATTGTGCATAGCAGGCGTACCAAACAGAACGAGCTCGCCAAGGAGAGCGGATTCGATTGTGGCTTCATGATCCCACGGAGCCTGAATCCTAAGGTGAGGGACGAGAAGTACGGCGAATATTGCGGAGGCCTTGTGCTGTCGCAGGGTCCTGGTGGACACACGTTGTTTTTGAGCGTGTATTCCATTCACAGCACATTGGGGGGGACTCTGAGTACAGATTTTGTGGAGAAAGTCCGGGAAGAGACCGTCGCTTACTGGGAGGATTATAAACTACGCTTTGGAGCCGATTTGGGAGTTATTTGTGGCTTCGACGCCAATGTGACGCTTCCGGCAAAAATTACAAGGATCACGGGGGACAATCTCCTGAGACCATTGCGTTCGCACGCTGCTTCAATGCAACACAATATGATTTCGTGGATGCAGGCCATAGGGATCCGAGCTGTGAACACATACGGCCTTTCTTCAGGCACCAATGTATGGACATGTGGTCTCAAGAGGAAACAGAAGGATCGTTCACAGATCGACTGCATAGGTATCTCTGCAGGGTTTCGCGGGGAAGGTGGTGCACGCAACTTCTTAGATATCCGAGGTGAGGGCCTGTTGTACAAGGCGATGGACCACCGGCTGGTCAAGGCAGAGATCGGAGTAGGACATCGTTGGCGGCCCCACGGTTGTCTTGCGCACCCCATGGGAGCGACTTCCCAAGCAGACCTTGACTGACAAGGACGCCCGGAAGGGTTTTCAATGTTGTATGGTGAAGCAGAATTTCTTAACATCGGATCTGGATACTTTCGAGAAGGGCATTTTGACACGGCCGTTGCCATTCTCTTCTTTCGAAGCTAGATCAAACACAGAGTGCACCTTAGGCCGAAGCCGCATAAAGCAACTACGGGCGCAACTCCAATTCGAGACGGACCTGGACCAAAGGGGAATATTGTTGAAGCAGCGCTGGGCGATCCGGAAAACGGCGCAGATATGTGCAGAGGGAGGCTGCTATGACACGCCTCGGAGCCTTGAAGAAATCTGCTGGCAACCAGAGCACCGCGCCAGTAGGGTTCGAAATTAATGGGAGTTGGACGTATGATAAGCGATTGTGGTTGCAGGGAGCCTTTGAATTGGGAGAGCGCGTTTTCAAGACCGCAGCAATCCATACTCAAGACATCGCCAAATATTGGAGGAGCTACGGAGCTCTTCGATGAACGCCCGCTTGGACGGAGTTGCTTGCCAGCCCTTGGAATTATAGGACGTGCTGCAGGGCAAGTCGCGCCTGAGGCATGGCGGAGCGCCTGGACACGATGGGATCACGCCAGATGTGTTCCACATGATGCCCTTCTTGAGTATGCTACATATCCACGGCTTGTTTTCCAAGCGAGCTGCTTTCGATACATCAAGCCCGTCTTCCCCATACTGGAAGACGATGGATATGCAAATCCCCTGTTCTGCAAAAACGGTTCCTGCAAGCGTGCCGGCCTCGGATTCGAGCTCAAGTTCGGCCGTCCAGAGTTCATTCTTACAAGTTCAGGGTCCACACATCGACTTCCGGTTTGACTGGGGTTGTGAGGGGATGGTTGCACATGTCTGGGACGTGGAATCAGCCGCTGGTATTGGGTTGCCGACAGCTTTCGACTGCATGCCCCATGCGCTCACTCAGCGAGCACTACTGGCAAGGGGTGTTCCGGCACACGATGTCGGTGTATACATGCGGGAGCTGACTGAGCTGAAGGCAACAATCACTTTACCCACGACTGGAGAGACGGAACCTTTCCCGTTTCAACGTGGAGGAAAGCAAGGCGGAGTGGAAACGCCGGACGAGTGGAACGCCCTCGTCGACTACATCTTGGAGCTGGTAGTTTCGGCTTGGGCTGAGCTCGAAATGGGATTTCAGTTCCAAGAAGACTTCAACATAGGGCGCCCATGTATTCAATTGCACGCAGTGTGGGCGGATAACAGATTGATATTTGCGAGCGGACGAGACACGTTCCAGCTTACAGTCAATCATCTGAACGACGCTTTTGGAAAGATCCTTCATGACGACGGCATTCCTTATTTCAAATGGAAGCCGACATCGCTGGAGATTATGCTGGCGGGATCGCTGAGGAATGCGGGGATTGAGACAGCATGTGTACAGCAGGACGGGCACTCCATTGGCTACGTGGAGAAACACGCTCCTCTTCTTCTGGGGGGGCATTTCGACCAGAACGGGAGCAAGTGAGAGAGCATTGTTTTCAACATGGGCAGGGCTGAGGCGTGCTACTGCCAGCACCAACGAGTTCTTCAAAACAGGGGCACTCCAATTTCGACGCGGCTACGGGCATGGGGAACGGTTCGGGCAACAACGGTGCAGCACGGGTCAGAGGGAAGGCACCTAACAGCTGGTGTACTCAGACGGCTACGGACATGGGAACTGCAGATGTTGAGATGGATGTTCAAGCTCCGCCGTCGCCCAGAGGAGTCGGCAATGCACCAGAACAGCCAGACAGCAGCATTGGTTACGCGGTGGATGGAATCCAACCGTCGGGACTTCGTCTTCGTGCGGGTCCTACGGTCAGTTTTTCAGGCAGCGTGGAAGATGACTCACTGGAGCTCGGATTCTGGCGAATGCCCCGCCCGAGGAGCTCGAGAGTGTCGCTCCGCCCACTGGTGGCATACAGCTCAGGTTTTGGCAACCGGCAACAAACGACGGCGAATGGGCACGGTACACGCGAGAAATGGGCACCCCAACGCGCCGTGGGAACATCCTTTCGACGGGATCGGTGCAAAAACAGGGAAGAGTAAATGCGCACGTTCCCATCGTTTTGCAGAGATTTGTGCTGTATGGGGACTAGCGTACATCGTCTGGACAACGACGAACGGTTTCACCCGAGGTAAGATTATCGATGGAGCCAGGGCAGCTCTTACGGTCGAATCCGAAGGAGTTGCAGTGGGACTCGCTAGGACAACGAGTGGCGTGGGCCTTTTGGGGTCCTAGCCGAAGCTTTGGCAGAAGAGTTTTGCTTTGAGTTATCATTCCTCCATGTGGTCAGTGGCGGGTAAGTGCGCACATTGCGTGGGTCTTTCGGGAAAGGAAATGAGAGGAGGAGGAGGAGGAGGAGGAGGAGGAGGAGGAGGAGGAGGACGAGGAGGACGAGGAGGACGAGGAGGACGAGGAGGAGAAGCAGGACGAGGGGGAGAAAGCGCGGGAGGAGGAGCGGGAAGCGTGGCAGCGAGGGCGACAGCGAGGGCGACGGCGAAGGGCCCATCTGAGGGGGGACGTTAGGAGGGGGAACCGGAACGGGGGTGAAAACATCGACCTAGAATCGGCGATACATTGCCGATAGATCGGCGATGGGCGCCCGATGGCAAATCCGCGCGTTCGTTGGCGGGGTGGGCTAGCGGGCCCCATGTCGGCGATCAATGGGCGATTGGATGTCGATACATCCCCCCTCGAGCCTGCCCCCCCTAACGCTGCCCCTGACCCACCCCCCCTGGGCGGTTCCCTGGGCAGCCACTCGTCGCGCGAGCTCTTGTCGTCGTACTTCACCTCGGGGGTGGGGGGAAGGGGGGCGGCGGCTTCGGGCCGCGGGCCAGGGGCTGCTCGGCCAACCTCCCGCGCGCCACTGGAGGACATCCCACCAGCCCTCTGGGCGGAGGTAATCTAGCGGGCTTCCTCGTCCATCTTCCCTCGCCCCCTTCGGGGGGAGTACCCCTCCCCCAAAGTACCCCCAGACCCTGGGTCTGGAGGGGAGGGGGCGCGAGATGTCGGAGGGCCATGTTGGGCCCAAGATGGCTCCAAGAGGGCCTCAGGGAGCCGAAGATGACCTCTAACGTGGCTCCGGATGGCTCAGGATAGCTCAAGATGGCTCCCACCATGCTCCAAGAGGCACTAAGACCGCCCCAAGAGGACTCCAATTGGCCACGGAGCCTCCTAAGGAAGCCAAAAAAGGGCAAGCGCCCTCCCCAAACCCAAGGGCACTCACCTTTTTGTTGGCATCTCGCCTTGTCGCTTTCGACGGCCCTCCGAGGCCCCAGGGCGGCTCCACGAAGGCCCAAGAGATCCCTGAGCGGAGCCCAATTGGGTCCCAAGACGGCCGTAACAGCGTCCAAGAGCGCTCCACGAGGGGTCCAAGAGGCGATGGCAAAGGCTCTAGAGTGGGGACCCCGCTTGTGACCCCCTATCATTTGATCGATGTCCTCCGAGGTGGCCCCAAGATGAGCTCCCACGAGTGCCCCAGGAGGGCCACGAGAGGCCCCCCGGGAGGCCCCCGAGGGGCCCCCGAGAGGTCCCCAAGAGGCTCCCAAGAGGCTCCGAAGAGGCCCCACGAGGCTCCCCCGAGGTAACGGCGGCCCAGGCGGCCCCCGGGGACCGCCAAGAGGCCCCCTAAGACGCCCCAAGAGGACCCCAACAGGCTTTCCGAGGAGGAGGAGGAGCAGGAGGAGGAGGAGGAAGAGGAGAAGGAGGAGCAGGAGGAAGAGGAGGAGGAAGAGGAGAAACCCGAAGAGACTCCGAGGACGATCCAGGAGGCCTCTGGCCTTTTCTGCTTGCCCTCCCTCCCTGGCACTCCTCCCCGTGGCGCCCCGGGGCGTGTCGCCACGGCGGTCCGGGTGCTTCGCCCGAGACCTCCTCACCATGCGTGATCCTTGAGCTCTCAATTTGCAACAGCTTCGCGTATGGAGGCTGGGCCGCTCTCAGCGTGCGGCTCTCGCCTCAGCAGCACGCACGCTCGCCCGTAAAGTTTGCAAGAGCTCCACGGAAGGAGTGCGGGCGGTGTTCCATATGTGTGTTCCCGCCCTGGCGCCGCGCACATTCGTTTTCAAAGTTTGCAGGAGCTTCTCGGATGGAGGGAGCTTCATTTCGACTTTGCGGCTCGCCCTAGCGCCGCGCGCTCTGGTTTAAAGTTTACAAGATTTCAAGGCTTCGCATGGCCGACGTCCCCAAATTCTGCTGTGGCACGATGTATGACTGTCAGGGCGCAAGAGTCACGTTGATTCGCAGTGTTGAAATCCAGGAAAAGCGTTCTGGCACTATTCAGGATCGTCAGGTCGCAACACTCACGTTGACTTGCGGCGCTGAAGTCCAAGGAGTGGTGTTTTGGCACGGTTCAGGATTTTCAGACGGTTGTCTTCCAACGGGGCACTCCCCTCTGTGAAACTAGATCCTTGTATGGGGCCTATGATGAGGGAACTTGAATGGAAAGTTTGATGCAACATCGTTGATGGGTTTGGGGCTTACACTGGTCCTACTCCGCCTCTTTCCTATTCCTCCTCCTCCCTCCTCCCTCCTCCTCCCCCTCCCCCTCCTCCTTCTCCTCCTCCTCCTCCTCCTCCAATTCCTCCTCCATCCTCCCCCTCTTGGGGTACAGGTATCGGAAACAATTCAGCAACACTCACGCGTAACCTATGGTGTGAACTCGTCCCCCCCTCCCCCCGAATGCAATGTTGGGATCGGATTTCCCGAGTTTGAGTGTCGGACCAGAGATGCGTATGCGTGCCAACGTTGAATTGAGGGTTAGCTGCAAGTGTTGCTTTTTTGTTCCCTCAACCGTATGACGGCTTCCCCAGCTCTTTATTCCACTGCAGGCCCCTCCGCATCCCTGATCAGGGCAACTCGCCTGGGCATCATTTCTGGATGGGCTGGTGGGGTTACGCGAGGCGTCTAGACTTTGATTCATCACCTTGCTACGCGACCTTGCTACGCGGGAGTCCAAGACTGAAGGGGGATGAGGAACAGATGCGAATGTAGATCGGCAGACACGACGAGGAGGAGCTGTAGCTGCAGCTGCTGCAGGCGAAAGAGACGAATGAGGAACAGTAGCAGTTGCATCTGAAGATGGGCCACAGCAGGAGGAGCAGGAGGGCTGCCAGAAAGGTGGCGCCCCATTCCGCTGCGCCCACGGCAGATGACATGGCAAAACCGCACAATCAAAACAAGCAAACAAACAAGCCAAGATACAACCAACCAGACAATCGCATCATCAACCCATCAACAAACACAAACTAATTACAAGCAAACAAACAAACAAACAAAGACGCAAACACGCAAACAGGCAAACCACAAACACACAAATTAACAAACAGGAAAGCAAACCAACCAACAAACAAACAAACCCAAGAACAACAAACACACTCACACATACACAAAAACATTCGGCTCGGTCGCACGCAGCTGGGTCGGACAGCCAAACAAGCGCTCAAAGTCAAACCGTGCGACGACCACACACAAAGACACACACACATATATATATATATATATATATATATATATATATATATTTATATATATATATGTATATATACATATATATATATATATATACATATATATATATATACATATGTATCCGTTTGGAGATTCGCATAGGGAAAATGTATCCTCTAGGGGCGCATTCTAGGCTCACGCCTCTAGAGGCAAGCGTTCTCCCTCTCTGGAGTCGCGTGCGCCCCCCTCTAGAGGCCCTTCTGGAAGCCCCTCTAGAGGCCCTTGTAGAGGCACCTCTGAAGACGCCTCTGGAGCCGCTTAGAGCCTCCAACGAAAACTCTCCCGTGCGCACACCCCACCCGCCCTCACGAGCTCACCCACAAGCGACACCTCCCAGAGAGCGGACGTGCCGTCAACGCCCGCCCGTCCCCTACTCTGCGATGCCGAACGGTCCGCATACCTCCACCGCCCCATCCAACAACAGATGCACAGAAGCCTACTCAGGGAAGCAAGCAACGTGAGAAAATGAGGAGGCCTGGGGGAGACTGGGGGGCTTCCGCGGCCAGCACGGCTCGAGCTTGTCGGCGCTGTTTTCCCTGTCCAGGTGATGATGGTGTCGCCGTCATCGTCGCCGCTGCCGCCGCCGCCGCCGTCGTCGTCGTCGTCGGCGTCGTCGCCGCCGACGCCGTCGCCGTCGCCGTCGCCGTCGCCTTCGTCGTCGTCGTCGTCGTCCTCGTTGTCGTCGTCGTCGTCGCCGTCGTTGTGTCATCGTCGTCGTCGTCGTCATCGTCGTCGTCGTCGTGGTCGTCGTCGTCTCTGTATCTCTCTCTTTTTCCCTATATTTTTCTTTCTTACTCTCACTCTCTCTCTCTCTCTCTCTAGCTGTGCTAAGACCTTGAGTACGTATACACACAGACAGCCGATCTGGTCGGACTTCCGGTCCGTGGCTGGGGCCCCTAGAAGCCCCAAAACAACCGCCAATGGGCCCCAGGAAGCCTCCTCCAGAGGCCCCGAAAGCCCCCCACGACGGCCCTGATGGCCCCAAGCTCGTTCGAGATCTGCCCAAGGCGGCCCACAGAGGGGCAAAAAAGCCCGCCTGAGACCCAAAGAAAGCTCCGAGAAGCGTCCCAAAAAAGGGCCAATCTGAGGCAAACCTCAAAAATCCCTGGTTGGGTTTTTGAAGGCTTTTGAAGCTTTTCGCATTTTCTGCTTGCCAGCGCTCCTCGACGGCCTGAAAGCGCCCAAAAGCACCCCAAGGAGGCACAAACAGCACCAAGGCGGCCCCATGACGGCCCAAAATGGTCCCCAAATGGCCTAAAACGCACCCACGACAACCGATGAGGGGGCCCAATGATGGCCTCAAACGGCCACTTACCCGAGCAATTTTTGCGCGCCCCGTTATAGTCACGCGCGAATCTTCGCCCCCACGCCAAAGCCACATAACGAACCAAAAGTCCGACGGCGCAGCGTAGCAAGCCGTAGAAAACTTGGATGTGTGCTTATATATGTATATATATATACATACATATATATATATATATATATATATCTATACACACACGCACATAAACACAGACACACACACACAAACGCACACGCACACGCACACGTACACGCACACGCACACACACACACGTTTTTTGGCGGTCGTGGCCTCGCGCGCGGCGTCGAAACGGAGAAGACCATGTGCACACACACACACACACACCGTGTCCGGTCGCACGCAGCTGGGTCGGAAGCCCACATTACCGCTCAACATCAAAGAATGCGAAGGACGGACGGACGGACGCACACACACACACACACACACAGTTGTTGGCTGTTGCGGTTTCGCGCGCAGCGTCGAGGCTGAGAATATCAAGTGCGCGCGCACACACATTGTGTTCGGTCGCACGCAACTGGGCTGGAAAAGCATACAAACGCTCAAATTCAAACAGTGCGAAAGTCGGGCGGACGGACACATACACACATTTTTGGCGTCGCGGCCTCGCGCGCAGCAGCAGGGCATAGAAGGTAGAGTGCAGGCAGCGGAGCGCACGCGTCTATGCCTGGCCGATCTCTCAAAGACCGCTTAGGGTCTCGCAGCTGGCAGCAGCCATAACCATCCAGACCTGGATGGTGGGGAAGGGCGATGCGTAGACGAAACTATGGTGGGAGTGGCGGCCACATAACCCAACCACGACTGGAAGGCGGGGAGAGCGAGTACACAAGAGTGGGCAAACGAACGACCGCGCCAAGGAGCGACGGCGGAGAGCGAGCTCAGGGCGGCGGAGCCGCAAAAAGTCGCAGGCCCAAGGAGCCAACACACACACACACACACACACACACGCCAACACACACACACACATACACACACACACACACACGCACGCACACACACACACACACACACACACACACACACACACACACACACACACACACACGCACACACACACACAACCACACAAACACACACACACACATTCACATTCACATTCACATTCACATTCACATTCACATTCACATTCACATTCACACACACACACGCCAACACACATACACGCACACGCACACACGCACGCACGCACGCACGCACGCACGCACGCGCACACGCACACGCACACACACACACACACACACACGCACACACACACTTTTACGTCAGCGGCGCAGAGGAGGAGTCTCAGGCGCGGTCGGCAGGTGGAGGTGCCAATTGTGAACGACCGTAGTCGAACGCGCCATGATGAAGACGCCCACTCAAGGCCGCGCAAATCGGCGGTGAAAAAACATGAGGTGCTGCAAAGCCAAAGTGCAGCGGCCAATAATACGACGAACAGAAAACTCGACTCGATTAAATTGAAGCGCCAGCAACAATCCGGGGCCAACTAGCACCACTGAATCCTCGGAGCCATGTTAGGCAGTGGGTGAAGACAAAAAAAAAACCTATAAGGCTGCCAAACCAGCCAAAGAATAAGTTGCACCGAAAAGCTACGACTCGGCGGACATGATGGGGAAACCAACAAACCGGCGACGCCCGATGCATTCGCATGAATGGGTGAAGTGCTCGATTGGCGGTGACGGAGCAGCACGCATGGGAAGACCGCGCCGAGCCGTAAAATCTCTGGCGGGCCGCCACGCCACCAAAAGAGGCCAGCGTCAGTGATGCGCCCTGGCTGGCCGAAAAGAAGGCTGCTATAGAGGCGCCGACCAAAATAGATCGGTGGGTCACCCCTCGAGCAGCGCGAGTGAAAACACGAGGTGCGCTGTGCGCACCGACGTCTAGGTCGCCACCAAATCCACCAAGGACGTATCGGAAAACACGCGGACGGCGCCGCGAGGCACGCGGCAGGCGCAGATAAAGGGCTTAATTACGCCGGTCCTACAGGAAACGCATCATGCGAGACAGACCACGGCGGTGGCAAACGCAAGGAGACCACCCCAGGAGGCCCACCCACACGGAGCCAGGAAACCAAACTGAGCGCGAGCAGCTCGGAGGGGCCTGAAGACGCGGCGCCAGGAGAGAGAGCTCCAGGCGCTACACGAGGCCCAAGCCCCCGCGGCGGGGGCGACCCGCAAGGAGGGGGAAAGGGGGGGAAAAAAGCAAGCAAGGCAGAGGCAGGAGGGGGGCCCAGAAAGACGACGGCGGGGGACCCCGCGACACGGCCGAGCCCGCGACCAACGACGACGGCGACCGAGCGAAATCCGCGACCCACGAGGAAGAGGCAGGGACGGACGAGCCACCTCGGGGGGGCGCCACCAAGGGTGGCAGGAAAACCACGCCACCTCCAACAGACGACTGAACGCCACCGGGCCTCAGGCCAAGAGTGGCGGAAGCGAACGCGAACGAAACGCGGCGGATCAAAGGGTGACAGGGCGGCGCGCGCCATGAGCGACTTATCGAAAAGCAACGGGGCGCAGCAGGCGACGCATTGGCGTGTGACGCGAACGACTGCTCGGTGTGTGACATGGCAAACAAATGCGGTCGGGCCGCCAAGGCTGGCTCGGCGAAAGCGCCGATGCAGTCGATGGCGCCAGCGGCGCCACCAGGACGGCGCACTCGGGCCGCGCCGACATGCCCAGGGGCGCCGGCAGCACCCTGGGCGCCCGCGGGGCGAGAGGGCGAGCAGCCCCGCCCGCGCCGACCGCCCCGGGGGCGTCAGCAGCGAGGGCCGAAGCGGCGGCGCCAGCAGCGCCGGAAACGCTCGCAGCAGCAGGCGCGCCGCCGAGAGCGGCCGCGCCCGTCGCGCCAGCAGCACCAGCCGCGCCAGCGGTGCCAGAGAGCCCCGGCGGGCCCGCGTCGACCAGGGCGCCGGCAGCGGCGGCAGCCAAGCGGCGACCGGCAGCGGCACGGGCTTGCCGCCGTCGCCGCGCCGCCGCGGTCTGGGCGCCGCACCTGGGCCAGGGGCGTGCTCGAGCCCAGGCGGCTCGAGCCCGAGGGTTACGGAACCACGCACACACACACACACACGCACACACGAACACACACACACACACACACACACGACCAAACACACACGAACACACGAACACACGAACACACACACACACACACACATTTCGGCGGTCGCGGCCTCGCGCGCAGCGTCGAGGCGGAGAAGAGCATGCGCACACGCATACATTGTGTTCGGTCGCACGCAGCTGAATCGGAAGACCACACAAGCGCTCAAAATCAAACAGTGCAAAGGACGGACGGACACACACACACACACACACAAACCAAACACCAACACAAACACACGACCACACACAGCCACACACACACACACACGCAAACGCACACGCACAGGCGCACACAAACACACAAACACACGAACACAAACAAACAAACAAACAAACAACAATAAAAAAACAACAAACAAACAAACAAAAAACTGTCGCCTCGCGCGCGGCGTTGGGGCGGAGACAGGTTAGTGCACACACGCAGACATATTCTTCGGTCGCACGCAACTTGGTAGAAAAACACACAAGCGCTCAAAGACAAACAGTGCGACTGACGGACGGACAGACAGACACACTCACACACTCACACACACACACACACACACCGTTAATTTCTAGTCCTGCTCTTGTGTAGCACTGCTTGATTATGTCTGGTCCTAGCCCCAGGGCGGCCACAGAAAGGCCCCCCAAGAAACGATCACACGCGGAAAGGAACTGTGAAGAACCATGCTCAGAAGATCGTGAACTCGGGGCCCTGAGAGAACTGTGAGAGAACTGAAAGAACCTGTTCCGCCGCACACGCATTCCCTCTGGGGCACCTCTTCCTCCGAGCGCCCTCCACGCCCCTCCGACCACCTTCAGGCGGCGCTTGTCTGCGTCCACCCCGGTGCACTCGCGCTTGCTGCCCGTCGGGTTGACCACCTCGCGGGCGCCACGCGGGGGAGGGGGGCAGGGCGCGGCAGGGCTCAAAGATCCGCGCGCGGGCCGCCCGCGACACGCCCCCGGGGTGGCCCGGTGCAGCCTGAGCACACCAGCCCGAGGCGCCGAGCGCCCCCCCCCCAAGGGGGCGCCGCCAGAGGCGGCGCCGAGCGCGGAGACGGTTCCGGATTACCCTGGCGGCCACGGTGCGGGCGTCTCGGGGGAATGGCTGTCGGTGTGCAGCCCCGGCCGAGAGCGCTGCCACGGGAGCGGCGGGGGGCCTCCCAGTCAGGGGCGCGCGGGGTCCTGGCCCGAGCGCTGGACAGTGAGGCCAAAGGCCAGGCGCGTGAGTGCTCTTGGCACAAGACAGCGATTGCAAAGGAAGGGTGCGAGGGGAGGAGGAGGAGGAGGAGGAGGAGGAGGAGGAGGAGAGGAGGAGGAGGAGGAGGAGAGGAGGAGGAGGAGGGGAGGAGGAGGAGGGGGAGGAGGAGGAGGAGAAGGAGGAGGAGGAGGAGAGGAGGAGGAGGAGGAGGAAGAGGAGCACCTGTGGAGCGGCGGGGAGTGGGGGGGGGTGGGGGGGGGGGGGGGGGGGGGGGGGGGGGGCTGGCGAGGGGCAGGCGGGGTGTCGACAGTTCTAATCGTCGTCGCCATCGACGTTGCTGTGCTTGGAGCAATGCTCGTCGGAAAGGCGTTTGCCGTCCTTTTAGCCCTATTTCCCCTTTCCTCCTGCCTCCTCCCTCCTCGTCATCTTCCTTCTCCTACCTCCTCCCTCCGTTTTGTCTGCGATGTGCACCAGGAGCTCATTCTCCCTGCGCTCGTGGATGACGTGCACATCCAGCACACTGGTGACGACCAGCGTAAAGCTTATGCCTTGGACGTTACACTGCGAGGTTTTGTTTGATTCGGAAATCTGGGGCTCCAAGTTCAACTGCAAGGCATCGCGTGTGCCCGCCAACGTGGCCACGCGTAGGCTGCTGCTGAAAGCTGCCAAGAGGAATGTCCTACTTGGAAGCTGGCTGCGGAATCTTGGTTATGAGGTGCTGAGTGCCCGCCCCCCTCGTCTCCAGGCGAAGGCCCTTTCTGATGTCTCTTCTCTAGCGGCGGCTACATCGGCTTGCTATGTTTCGGCAGGTGGCAGGGCGTAGGGCGTCGGCGCTCTGGAGAGCTGGTGCCCAACCTGCTGCGGCGCATGGGGCTGGCACGATTGGCTTTTCCGATAATTATCTGCATCGCTCCCAGATCACGGCTGCGATGCTGGCCGGCACCCCGCCGCAGGCGCAGAAGACGGCCTATCTGTACTGCCGGCAGGCGAGGTACGATCCGATGTTTGATGCGACCACCCTCACGTGTTCATATCGGACGGCAGGATGGCCACGGGCGAGCTGACGCGCGCTCGGCAGGCGCTGGCGGCGAAGACCGAGACCTCAGGCATCACGCGGGCGACGGCCCGAGGTCCGATGGCTGCCACCTACGTGCTCGACGCTGGCCAGAACCAATTGGAGTTTCTCCGGCCCTCATCACTGGCTACATGACACTGGTGTAATCTATGATCTGCTTCACGCTGCCCCTGCGGACACGAAGCAGCTCCTGGAAAATGGCGTGAAGCGTCGGCAAATACAGGTGCTGACTGCGCACCTTCCTAATTAGGAGCCTACGCATGACGTTTGGGAACGCGCTCTTCGGCAGAGACATCGCGATCAGCAGCCAGCCCCTCCGCGTGCTCTTCGCGCGATTTGGGCTGACAGCTATCCGACCCCTGCTCGTCTATGCGCTTGGGGTAAAGACCTTGCTCCCTCTCGCAGCGCTTGTTTGTGGTTGGAGGCGGCTCCTTCGCGCGCGGCTCGATGGACCTCAGCTCGCGCGGGTAGTCGAGCCCCCAGAGCGGCTGGCCATGAGGACGAAGACGGGGCAACTGGAACACCTCGGTCACGAACGAGAGGCACGGGGCGTTTCACCGCGGGCCGTCGTCGAAGGCCCACGCCTCTGTCAGCCCGCAGCCCTCGACTCCCCGACGAGGGTCGAGGTTGGCCCCTTCTCCAACTGTCTCGTCCGAGACGGCGCAACGCGCTTCTGGTCGCTTGTCTCGACGTCGATGGAGCCCCCGCTCTCGCGCGGCCCCAGGCCCTCGGCCTCCGCGAACTCGCCGAGGCCCGCGGGCGGCTTCACCGCCGTGGAGCGCAGCCTCGAGTTCAGCGAGGCGCCGGCATCGGACGCGGGGAACACACTGCACCTCTCCCCCGCAGCTGCTTCAGATGCGGGCCCAGCCAGCGTTGGCAATGGCAACGCGGCTGTCAGCGCACACTGCCGCGCGGCCCAGCTGGGCGACCGCTCGGGCGGCGCCGTGCCGCGCATGACCATCCACTGCCTGCGCCGCGATCTGCCCGGCTGGAAGCGGGCGGCTAGGACGGGGCCCAAGGTGCCCCAGCCCAAGTGGCTGCGAACGCACGGCGGAGTCCGCCTCGGCGTTTCTGGACGGACCATCTGCAACATTCCACCCCGAAGGGATCCACCTGATGGCAAAATTAATCTCTCGCAAGACAGATGCTACACCACGCAGCGCAATCTCTGTCTCGCAGGCAGAGCCACATGAATCTCCCTCTGACCTGGGCCAGCATCGCAAAGCCCCTGGCCCGGCACCGCTCGAGCGCCAAGACGCTGCCGAGATCGTCACCGAGACGGGGCTTGCGCGCGCCAGCTCCTGGGCATGCGCGCGCCCGCGACGTCGAATCGCAACTGCCGCGCGAGTATCCAACGAGGTGATCTGATCGGTCGAACTCCATCGGCCCCGTACTCTGACGTGCCATTTGATTTCTCCAGTACCCCATGCGATATCTCAGATAAGTCGCCGCGGACATCCCCATCCAAACTCTCGGGGCATGCAAGCTGCGGAACATGCGCTCTGGCGGAAGAAGACGAGAGGCGACGCCTCGGCCCTCGATTTCACGGAAACGCGGCCGCGACGGGCCGCCCCTGGAGGCCCCCGCCATGTCGATCAGTTCCGCACGCCGCCCTCGCTGGCGTCGCCGACGTCGACCACCCCGCTGCGAGGCAACTCCCAGGAAGCGGAAACCAGCGGCGTGAAGCCCGAATCCTGAAGTCGGTCCGGGCAGACGGCCAGAGCAGGGCGAGCCCGACAGGGTGGGGCTGCGCAAACTTGTGCGCAGCGTGGAACACCGAGATGGTCTGCGTCGCGAACAGGCCAACACTCGCATAGAGGCCCACGAAAACCTCGATCAAATAGGCGGACGCTTTCCGTCGAGCCAGTCCCCGCCGCAGCCTCGCGCCCAGTCGCCAGTCGCGGGCGGCCGCGGGTGCCCGGCCGCCAGTCGCGGCATCCAGCTCGACCCCGAAGCTCTCCGTCGCGGGGCGGGGGGCCTTCTCCATGCGGTCGCGCATCGCGAGGCCGCCGTCCTGGCGCGAGTCGCAGGCGCCCGCGAAGCTGGCGGCGCACTGGTCCTGG